AAAAGCCAGGCCCGCCTTCACTTAGGGCGGGCACCTCCGCCTTCACTTAGGGCGGGTAAGGCTGCAGACAGGGCCCAGTAGGCCTACCGAGGACACTGATCCTCGCAATAATGAATCTTTTGTGCCCAGTGATCTGAAAAGAAGAGGAAAAAAAAAAAAAAAAAAAACATTCACTGGGACTTTAATGCACCCTTCAAGTGCCTTGTAACCCCCCTTTTGTTTGATCTGCTAGGCCATGACCCTCTTGGAACTCAAACACGTTTTAGCACACAGGCTTGGATGTTGGGTCCTCCACTGCTGCATGGACAACATAACCCTAATCATACCAGTCCGTACCGGTGGAGGTGTCTCCATGGGCCCGTTTCCAACGTGTCAGGGATTCTGCACTCGTGGTCCCAGGGCTCAGTCCCACTTTCCCAGACTCTTCGTTTCCAACTGTGGATTGCAGAAATTGACGGCTAGAAATGGAATGGTCTGGGTAGGGGGGGTAGGGGGGTAAGGGGGGAGGGGGGGAGGGAGGGGGGGGGTCACTCACCGCAGGACCTGTGTCTGGCACAGACAGACCAGCCAGGCTGGACAGCATTGTAACAGAGGACAGCATGCTCTTGTGATTTTTGGATAGATGTCTGCAATCGACTCTGCATCTTCGGCAAATGGCAATCGATGGCCAGACATGGAAATTCTAGGTAAGGGCATATATAATATATTCACATTAGGACCTTCCTGAATGTATATGGCCGTAGGTAAGGGCATATTCACATTAGGACCTTGCTGAATGTATATGGCCACAGTTATGTCCAGAGCTCAGTCGAAAAATCCCTGGTGTGATTATGCCCTAAGACTCTAAGAGCGAGGACCTTTCTGGCACCGACAACCTGGCTGGTCGGCCGGGTTGGAGCCGGACACCATTGTTGTATGACAGGGGACAGGATGTTTGTTATTCGGATTGAGGATTGATATAAAAAATTGAAACAAAAAGAAAAAAAGAAAGAAAGAAAAAAAGTACAAATTTGTGAAGAAAAGAAAAAGAAAACAAGAAAAAAGAAAGAGAGAAAAAAATAAAAGAATATGTTGAACCTTGTAGGGACAGTGGCAATCGGTTTATCTGTGGGATGTGTCATTTGCTTTCTTCCCTTGTCTTTTCTTTGACTGGATCCCTTTCTCTTTCTCTTGCCTCTGTGGGGTCTGGTTTCCTCCTCCTTTTCTTTACCTCTTTTTTGCCTTTTGGCTGCGTGCAAGTGGGTCCTTGTGATTCACGGGGATGGGGGCAGCCAGCGCTCAACCTGTCCTCCACGTGGCTGGCCTTGCACGTAAGAGGTGATGAACAGGTGGGCCTCTCTTTCCTTCCTTACTTCTTTTCCTTTCCCTGTTTTGCTTTTTTTCGCGCTCGCGCTCTGATTCACAGTGTGACTATAGCTGCCTTCGCGTTCTCAATCGGCCGTTGTATACACCATCAGATTTCCTTGCAATTGCCCTGCAGCTTGATGTTGATCTGGCTAATCTCGCTGATCCCCCCGACCTACAGCCAGAGCATCGTAATTACACCAGGGAAGGAGGTTTTACCATTGCTGTCCT